GAACCATTTGGAACTCGTACGGTACCCGGCAGAGCAACCGGGCAGTCTTTGTGACTGTAGGGGTAAGTCACAACGCACTGATGGTGTGTTAGGGTCACGCCACTTACTGTGACGGTTTGTTAGGGTCGCGTCCCTTTCCTGTGACTGCTCTCAGATTAGGGTTCCCACTAACGGTTGAGCACTTATTCTTAGGTTTTTAGTGTGGTTAGGGCTACCCGGTTGTCGGGCCGGAAAAAGCACTGCTCGGAAGCCTTGTCGACATGACCGGCGACAGGAACCGTCCGCGTCCGAAATTTCGAAAGGAGTTCACAAGTTTTGTGCCTCTTGCCCCACTGGCACTACCTAGCTTCATCTCCCAAGCTCCATTCGCATGCTAGAGAAGAGAGCTTTGTTGTCTAGATCGGCTAGGTGGTTTGGCCCATGCAGGCGCCATTGACCCTGTTAGATGTAAGACTCACAGACCCCAAGTCAAACTGCCCTTTGGTGTGCTTTTGATTGCCCGTCTTCTTTGGTTAGTCCCACACGATGTCCGAGGGGCTGCGGAGTAGGAACCAAGGCGTAAGCTCAGAAGGAGACCAGAGCGGCAGAAGGCAGACTGACGCGAAGACAGGGGAGCAGGCAAGCATGGAGCGGGAAACTGCTGCGCAGCCTTCTACCTCAGGAGGGGCGGGTTTTGAGCAAGGGGAGTGGAGCGAAAGGACAGCCAGTGCAAATGGGGAGGGAGGGAGTTTTGAGTGCAACATCTGTCTGGAGCTTGCGCAGGATCCGGTCGTCACGTTGTGTGGCCACTTGTTCTGCTGGCCCTGCTTGTATAGGTAAGCTGTCGCTTCTGTCGAGTCTGCATCTGGCACGTAGGTATTTGATGCCATTTGCGCGAATCACCACTCAGTTGCATGTGTAGCTTATAAGAATTACAAGCTGGTATCCTGGCTCTTTATCCTCCTTGAAGAAACTCTAAAGGCTCAAAAAGAAGGTTTGGCTCAAGTTTTCCATCGTGACTGCACCCAGCCGATGTTTGCAAATCTAAGAAGGGGGCCTTGGCAATCGGGCTCGAAACTCACAGGAATGATAGCCTGCAAGACCAGCATTTGCAGATACCCGGGTGCTTGTCTCATTGGCAGGTGGTTGCGATTGCACTCTCAATGCAAGGAGTGTCCGGTGTGCAAGGCAGGTGTCAGCGAGAAGAATGTGATCCCTTTGTACGGCCGTGGGACCTCAGGTGAAGATCCACGGACTAAGCCCGTGTCAGGGCCTGAGATTCCTCGACGTCCCGCAGGCCAGCGACCAGAGTCCCAAAGGGCACCGCAGATGGGGCCGTTTGGGTTTATGGCAGGCCCTTCCGCTCAGTTTGGGAACTTTACACTTTCAGCAGGGTTCGGTCTCTTCCCCTCACTCCTGGGGCTGCAATGGCAGGCGTATACGGGAGACCCCATGCCAGCAGGGTTTGCCGCTCCAGATGATGGGACTGGGGTCGCCCCGGTCCCAAGGGCAGCGCTGACGCCCGAACAACAGCAGCAAGCGTTTTTGTCGCGATTGCTCGTTATGCTCGGGTCGTTTGTCCTCCTCTGCTTGCTGTTCTTCTAAGTGCCTGTGAGCAGGTCGTCAGGTCGTTCGGTGGTTTGGTCCTTCTGTAATCCCTCCGCACTAGGTCAAACCTGTAGGAGAAGAAATCGTTGTAAAATAGAGGGTCTGCAAGATCTTAGGTAGTTCCTGCAGGATTATTGTGTTAAGCAAGCAGACAAAAAATCATGATGGTCCATTGACACATGATCCGCAAAGTGCCGGAACAGCTGAACCGTGCATACATAGCTTGTCATACATAGTCAGAGCAAGTTTCCGCATGGTTAAGATGGGTTTCACCATGTAATGGACTGCTAGCAGTAGGCCAAACAAGAGTAGGCGTTGCTGACTACTCCACGGGGGCAGTGGCTCCTTCAGATTATGCTCTTAACTGTAATAGCACTCTGATCAAGTATCCATGCATAATGCTCCGGTTGTTTGAACACACCAAGGGCATTTCTGGCAATAAGTTTGTATTGCATGCATGGTGACCTACAAGAAGGACCTCTTTGGTGGCCGCGAAAGGTCAAATTATCACTGCCCTTTATAATCCTTCTGTACGTCTCGAGTGCAAGGCAACCGATATATGATCTGGGATTAAGTAAAGTGCACATGCATGCGCGCCCGCATAGGTAGCTGCAAAAAGTATGTACCTGGACTGTATAAGTTATACTTTTCGAAACCTGTGCACGAATCATCCGATCCATTGAAGCATGACCTTATAGGTATTTTGTAAACATATGATCATTGCACCTAGCCTCGAGCTCAAGATCGATATTGAGTCTACATATGCATGCCATATGTATGTAGCCTGGTAAATGCGGCTGCGGCGGGCCACGGCCAGCGCATATACGTCCGTACTGCCCAGTAAATACTGAGTTCTAGCCGCATATATGCGTGTCCGCTTGTGTGTGTCACGCAATGTGCAAATATTCAACAGGTGCGCATTCGAACGAACTAATGTTGAAGCTGGTCATAATCTCATTTTGACACGCGTTGACTAGGGATACATCATGGAGGTGGCGGCAGCAATCCTAGCTTGGAGGTATGCATCATGTAATTTGTTTGCGGACAACGCCGGACGGTTTCATCCCGTTGCCTTCGTTTCAATCCAGATGCAGCAAACAAAAACAATCCTTCAGCCGACAAAGCAAGACGGTAGCTCCTCCATTGAGGTCAGATGCTTGCATGTATGATCGCTGGACAGTGAAACCCACAATAAGCTATTTTCAATGTAGGCTCGAGGGTGAAGGGTGATCAGATTCTGGTCTGCAGCTGATTTAGCCCACGTCTCTGTATTAAAACTTGAGCAACTCGATTCTAAACCCAAAGGGCCAAGTCATGGATTGGCCTTTACGGATGCAGCGGAAACTCTTTCAGTGGGGCGACATCAGCACCTCAGCCTATGTTCATTCTCGAAATACCGTGGGTAGACCTGCGGACTTCTATAATCTGCAACATGTATGAAGGGGGCGAGGCAAGCCTCCTTGCCGCTGGTGCGGGGCGCAAGAAATAGGTGAGTCGGAAATTTAGTCCTTGGCCTCCAGAATAATGGGCACCTTGACTGAGGAATTGCCCCGCAGTACCTCGACAGTCACCTACGGCACAAAGGACAGAATTGGATGAGCCGTCATCAGAAGTCCTTGTGCAAGAGAGGTGCCTGGCTGTCGGAGCAAAAAAGCCTTCTCGATCAATCTCATTTCTTAGGGAACACATTGCAGCAACAAGGGGGGAAGAAGATCGCGAGGCCAAGCCAGCACCAAACAGCAGATCACGGCCGCACATGAAACCATTCGACATTCGACAGACACTCTCCTGGGTGCCTCACCTCATCGCCCACTTTACACCGGTCCAGTATCTTATACAAGTCGCTTCCGTTCTTCACTCTCTGTCCGTTGATTGACGTGATCACGTCTCCTAGCACGAGGCGACCGTAGTCATCCCGAGTCGTTGGCCGCAGTCCCTGCGCGCACCAAAGACGAACCTCTCGTCGGCAACAGGTGCTCGTCAAAAGGCATGTGAGCGGCGGTTTCAGCACCAACATACGGCTCTATGCGTCAAAGTTGCTATCGGGTTCCATTTTGCTTCGAGGATGGTACTTGAACCGTCGAATCGATGACAAAGAAGCGACCGAACGGCTCGAGTTCAGGAACCATGCTCGGAGAACTTATGAACTCGATGGCAGGTTTGATGCAAACAGCTGTCCCGTTCAGGTTGAATAGAAACTCTTCCATAATGCACAGAACGTCTTTCCCTCATCTCAAAGAACGAAGCTCACGTGATACAGCGGCTGCCTTCTTGCGTATCAAACAGAGTCCCAAGCACAACAGTGAGCCGTCTCCAGGCGCCACAAGACTCCAGCTCATGCCCACCGCCCCCCCAATACACTCACCGCTTTTCCCGCGGGCCCTCCCCGCGGCGCGTCCAGCACGAGCACTCCCTGCACCCCGAGCTGCTCGACGGCCTGCTCCGGCGCAAACGAGATGCCCAGCACCGGCCGCGTCACCTTGCCGAACCGCACGATCTGGTCCACGATGCCGCTCACCTGCGGGCGCCGCCGAATGAACGTCTCGGAAGCGAAACTTCGATGATTGTTTGCTGGGGACAGGCTTTATGGAACTGGATCCCTAACGAGGTGCGTTGCCTGAGTTGGCGGTGCGTTTCAACATGAGCGTCGCAAGACATTCCGGTAGATTCTGGATACCATCTACAATTTCCGAGCGAAAGGTCGCCTTTCGGAACGCTTTGAATATGAGTAATCCAGGGCGCTCCGGCCTTTTCTGTAACGTCTCTCCGAACGTCGAATATGAAAGGGGTTTAGTCGTTGGGGAAAAGCCGAGCGAACGGGCTTCCACAAGTGCGGACCGCGGTTCGTCAGTTTCCGTCTATCCTACACATCTGTGCAGATTTTGCAGAATCTGGATATGGAAGACTTTTGAACGGCGTAGAAACGCAGGGAAACGAAGAGGACACTAGAGCTCAACAAAGACGGCGCTTCTCACCGTGTCAGCCGGAATCGCAAACCCGACACCGGACGACGCCCCGGATGGGGAATAAATGGCGGTGTTGATTCCAATCAGGTTGCCACTGCTGTCTAGTAAGGGGCCCCCGCTGTTGCCCGGATTAATGGCGGCGTCCGTTTGAATGACGTCCTGAATGGGTCGCCCCGTGGCAGCAGAGCTGATCTCTCTCCGCAGGCCGCTGTGTCAGACAAATAAAAAGGTATGAGTATGCGGACGAAATGAAGACGAAAGACTATGTGCGTCGCGAGCACATCAAACGAAGAGATGAGCCTCGCGTCCACGAATGCGACTTTCGCTTTCTGGAAGGATGTAGAGATGGCGATGCGCGGACAGAAGTTGTGTGGCGATGGCAAGACGCTTTGTTGGCCTATATAAGAGAAGCTTGCTACCAGCCGCATCTATGAGGATTATCAGGTCCCAAGTATTTCCAAATGAATGAACGTCCTTGCCCATTTAAAGGCGGCTGCCGGTACGATTGAGCCGCTCATCTTCCGGGTCGTTCCGAGAGCTCGCTAGTTTGAGCCCCCATCCAAGAGTAGTACGAAGCATTACAGATGAAGACTGGGCGTCAGGAAGAATCCTTTGACTGATGGACCGAAATCAGAGAAAGCAAACGAAACAACCTGAGGCAGCTAAAAACTGGATGTTTGACAATGAAACCGGACTCGGAGGAAGGAAGGCAACAACCTGAGACAAATTCAAAGTGGACCTCAGGAAGAATCGTTTGACGAATTTGTGACCATGAGACCGAACTTAGAGGGAGAAAACAGAATGACCCGAATCTGCCTCAAGCAATGCTGAGGCCTCACCTGATTACCCCAGTGGTCAGCGTATGGTCCAGACCGAACTGCAAAATGGGGATGCGGAACATCAGCCCCAATCAGGAATGCGTCACCAGAGACTTTACCTGTAGAAACAGGGGCTGGCAAGAAGCGCATATAATGACATGCAATTGAGCGGGGTTCGTCTAAGTGCACCCGATGCCTGAGAGGGCCTATGAGCCTAGCGGAAACAAAGACTGGCAGCTACAAAACGCTCTGCAATTGTTTTGAATCGCTTCCGCAGATGTCAGAGTACAGACAAGGCAATGAAATTGGACCATGGACGATAGGACTTGAGCTGACAGAACTTCCACGCACAGACCTAGCTAGCATCTGCCCAAATCTGAGCATGCTGCGAGCCGGATGACTGGAGTCTACTTTGGCAAAGAGGGGCCAAAATCGTGCCTAAGAACAAAGAAACGATAACGAAAGTACGACCCTCCCTGAGAGCAATCTATCTGCACTGATTTAAGACGCTTTATAATCCCGTACGGAGGACTGCAGATGCCGGTATGTGGTCAACGAGAAGCGTCTTGACTGAACGTATGCCACAATCAGTGTGACCGTCGTGTCGAGTTGCCATAAAAGTAACCGCAAGAATTCTTAGAAGCGTCATCAAAGAAAAACCTACGCCACCTGCACCGCAAGCTCACACAAAAGAAACCACTGCAAATCTAGATAAGAAAGGTGTGGATGCTTGCTACTGACCGGATTCCCAATGGCGTACACCTTTTGTCCGACTAGGAGGTCGCCCGAGCTCCCAACGGAGAGCGGCCGGAGGTCCTCGTTCTCCACGTCAATGTGCAGAACGGCCACGTCCTTGTCCTCGTCGTACCCCACGACCTGGGCTTCATAGACTGACTGGTCTCCAAGGGTCACTCTGGGAAAGGAAGGTAGATTCTGAGCTTGATGACGAATCTCAGGACACGGTCCAAGGAGGCCCCCAACTGATTGCCTTGACCATGCAAAGGCTGCGTGAATTGGTACTTGAAAGGGAAGTTCAGAGCAACACAAAGTAGTCTCGGCTGGGGCTTGACAAAGATGTCAATGCGAAGGTGATGACAAAGAAGTGAAAAGGAAGCTGGTGCGCCTTGTACAAAGATTTTCGGAGCCAAAATATGCTTACGGCATTACCTGCAAGCATAAGCTCTCATACACAGAATCAATCCGAGCAATCAATCTTTCCATGCAAGCAGTTCGGGAGCAAGTGCTGGCTTTGCGAGAGTCATCCCTTCTGATCTCAACAAAGTACCAAAAGTCCTTGCACACAGTCTTTCTGAAAAGAGGCTTTAGGTTGCG